GAAGACTTCAAAGCATCCCAACACTGGCTGGATAATTTCCTTTAGGGAAGTGAACTGCCTTTAGGCAGATCCACAACACTGTTTAGGCTGGAAGATGCTCAAGCTATTAAGCGAGCACTTGCATTCAAGTCCTTTATTGATGATGCTGACTTCTCTAAATACAGTCTTTCCAACATGATTGCTATGGATGAAACTGCAGTGTTTATGGGCCAATCATCTCAAACTACAATTGAACAGCGGGGTGCCACCTCAGTGTACATTCCCTCCACTGCTTAGGAAAGTGCATGTGTTTCCTGTATTTTGGCAATTTGTCTGGATGGCACTAAAATCCCACCTTTAATCATTTCTAAGGGCAAGAAGGAAAAGACTGAACGTGTTTTGGGCATTTTTATTCTTGAAACTGAAAAAGCCTGGGCCACACAAGCAGTTATAAGGAATTGGGTCAATTTAATGCTGCCGCTTGTTATGCGAGGGAGCCAAAGAAGTCTGCTAGTCTGGGATGCAGCCAGCACTCACCGCGATAAAGACATGAAGACATTTCTTCACGAAAGAAAAATAAATCAAATAATGATTCCCGCAGGAATGACGGCCTATCTCCAGACTCTTGATATTGCAATAAACAAGTCATTCGAGGACAATTTGCGCATGGAAATTAATGACTACATTGAAAACAGAATGGAGAAAAATCAGCGAGGAAATCTTGTGAAACCTAAACTGCAAGAGGTTGTGACTTGGGTGAAGAATTCATGGGAGAAAGTCACTGACAGTTGCACTGCAAATGCACTCCGAGCAGGCTACCGTGACAAGAAGTCCTCATTTAAGGACAGTGCTATTGCTAAACACGAGAGATTCGGTCCACTGATTCTGAAAGAAATGGAGTCACAAGAAATTCACCAGGAAATTCAGGGTTTGAATTGTTATGGTGATGTTCCAGAAGATGATGACATGGCTGTCATTGAATAAATGAGTAAATGTACCACAGATTGTTGTACATGGAAATAATGGTAGTAACAAGAAATTCTTGATACTGTAGGATTCACAGTTTGTCTGGTTATGCTGGTTTGTGATGACAACTACTACCATACTGTATACAGGTAATAAATTTCCTTTTTTGTTGTTCAACAATAAATGTGTACTGTATTCTTCTTCATGGAAAAATAAGACATCCCCTGAAAATAGGACCTAACACATCTTTGGGGGCAAAAATTAATATAAGACACTGTCTTATTTTCGGGGAAACAGGGTAACACAGGCAGCAAGGAAAGAGTTCCTACAGAAAAGCTATTCCCTCCTTTCAACAAGCATCCTTTCTAACGCCAAAGTCAACTTAAGAAATAAAATCATATCAGGATGAAAAGAAAATGACAAAGTACCTAAATACTAATTAACTGGTCTCTAAAAACTGATTGTGGTGATGATTGCACAACTCTTCTTGATGTGAATGAACTAGTGAATAGAATGATATAGGTGAATTATATACTAATAAAACTGTTTAAAAAAAGAAAAGTAAAAGGTGGAAAAATAAAGAATTAAAAACACTTTAACCTTCAACATGTGAACTCTCCTCATGGGCTCACACTCACTGCCACTGAGGCGAGGCTGACTCAGCGTGACTTGTCGACTTGTCAGGGAAGAACTGCCTGCGGGTTTCCTAAACTGTTCCTGGGCAAGGAGATCCTGGTCCTTCCGCGGGTTTCCTGAACTGTTCCTGGGCATAGAGATCCTGGTCCTTCCGCGGGTTTCCTAAACTGTTCCTGGGCATGGAGATCCTGGTCCTTCTTCCGGGCAGCAGGCGGTGACTTCAAACTACACACCTTGTGGTTTGCAGCCTAGCCTGTAACCACTGCACCACCAGGATGTACCTCATCATAGTAAATAACAAACAGATACAGGTAACTTCCTTGAACGTGGGAATGGAGTTGTGCTTCCGCTGGTGCCTGACACAGAGAAGGTGCTGAGTAGGTATTTGCTGACCACCTCAAGGGCTGTATTGTAATGAAAAGTCTGGACCGTGAGAATATTTTTTGACACTTAGTTTGTTTCACTATTACAATGTCAGAAATGGGTGAGAACTGAAGAAAAAAAAAAAGGTATGGAGAGCTTGGTTACAAAATGACTGTCAAAAATAAATAAAATGACTTTGTCAAGCTCTGGTCCTACTCCACTGACTACAATTCCCTAGTGTATATGACAGACATCACTGAAAATGATCTATGTCTATTAGAAGGAAACTAGCTACATAAACTTGAATACAGCCATAAAATGGCTCATTATGAGAACATTAAATAGAACAAAAAGGACCTGTGCATACAAATATGGAATACTGTGCACAGTTCCATCAAGTGACAGACAAAGATATTCACGGGAGCCCTTGATGCATGCTCCGAGAGACGTAGAAGAATCTCCGGGGAACCCAAGATGAGGGTGGGTGTTAAGGGCCCTACAGACGCTTGTTATTAGGACACCAAGAGGTGCTGGGGGCCTTTCGATTCCAGCCATCCAGAGAGCCGCGCTCTGAAGTTCTCTTTGGAGGCACTCCCTGTATTTACAGTGACAGCTAACCTAGGGAGGAAAAGAGCCAGGTGCTCTAGGGGTCACCTATGGCTGCAAGGTGTGCTGGCACTGTACTGCCCAACAGAGGTCCAACTCCTCCCTTCCTCACTCTACAAAGACTGGGGATACTGAGTCCATTTTCCCAATCTCACCTGGAGCTACGAGGGAAGGAAGCGTGGGACAGGTAACAAAGGCCTGGTAGGTATCCTTTTGCTTCGTTAATTAAAAAGAACAGCCACGACTGACGCCATCTTCTCTCCCTTCGTATATCATGCCTTAGCTGTAGACATAAAACTGTGAATATGGAAGCCATACTGGCACTAGGAGGCAGTAAGAGGCACCGTGCAGGTGAAACGCTGGAAGCAGTCTGGACGCTCGTGCATCTTCACTCAACAGGTGGGGACTTCCTGAGCCCAAAGAAAACCAAGCCCTTCTTTGTGGAAGGGAACCTGAGTGGAGCTCTGTGGCCTACCGCCACATGAATTCCTATGTAAGGTTCCTAGGACCGTGTTTTAAGAGAAGTGCCAGAGAAAAGAGCTCAACCTCTATGCGGAATTTAAAAGACGAATGCAATACATCAGAAATGTGTATTATAAATCAATTCTCATCCTTAATGTCTCTACACTGAACTTTAAAAGAGTGCTCATAAGTACATAGAAAATGAATAGTCCACATCAACCCCCCCCCCCAAAAAAAAAAGACTTCAGAACGTAAACATTGAGTTACACAATGACAACCAACTCACACAGTGGGGTGAAGTCCAATCAATGCTGCGGCTGCTCTGGACTAATGTTCATTGTTCGATAAATTTCCTTCAGCAACAACAGGGCAGTATCTTCAGATTCCCTGCCAACGAGAAAACACATCTGTTTACCTGAGACCACGGGCAGAGGTTCATCTCTCTGCGCAATGGTGGAGACTCAGCTGCAGTTCCATTCAAGTCTACCTACAAAGGGGCAGATGGAAGAGTCAGTCCCAAAGCGTCCGAAAAACCAGGCAGATGGTGGGCAGCTTGGACAGATACCGGTCAGTTTCAAAACAGTGGTGCTGTCATTGTCCTGCAGGACAGGGAGAGAGGTGAAGAGAGGCTTTGCCACGTCCCACCACTCACTCTGTGAACAGTATCCATGCAGAGAACGAGCTGCCAGGAGAGCCAAGGGCCTCTGGTCCAAGACAGGTGACATGCTGCCCTCATGTGGGTGACCAAAGGGGAAAAGACTATTTTGACCATACAGGGGTTCAAATTAACTCTATAATGAGTGATAAATCAGTACAAGAATCTCATAGAATTGCTACATTTGGCTGTATCCTAAAGGTCCCGTGGAAATGACCAAAAGTTCACCTAAGTCCATAACTCTGAAAACTCTTGTCAGAGTCCACTTCTGACTCGTAGCAACCCTTAAAGGACAGGGTAGAACTGCCCCTAAAAAGGCTTGCTAACTCTTTACAGGTGTGGAACCCTTCATCCTGTGGAGCAGCTGGTGATTTTGAACTGCTGACCGTGCAGTTAGCAGCCCAATGCACAACCACTCTGCCACCAGGGTTCCTATAGTCTCAACGAATGAAAACAGATCTGTAAAGACACTAAAATACGGCAAAGGTCATTTAAGCCGCAGCTGCAGACACTTACCAATAGCATAAGTGGCTCTGAAGAGCGAAGAGATACTCATTGAAGCTCTCGATTGGCTTTTCCTGAAGAACATAGTCAATCCGGCGACCTCCATTCAGCATGCCGACCTTCCCTAAGTAGTCTTCATCCTTGGAAAACTCTGGACTTTCCACAAGCTTTTCTGCTAGAATTTAAACCATTTCAACGTCAACGTCAATCCCCTAATCATTATCCTCTGAATGTAGCTGCTTCTCTGGACTCACTGAGAATACTGCTTGACATTCGTAGCAGCCTAGTTTGCTGCCAGGCTCACCCCCCAGTCCTCCAGAGAGCCAAGGCAGGAGGGGCTGGCTACACGAGAAAGAGGAGGGAGATAGTGAACTGAGCTGACAGGCGTTGAGAAGGAAAGGGTAGGGAGAGCATTGCAAGAAAACAGGAAATGACATTAGAATCTGGCAGAGCCCGCACACGGCACCACAACAGCCTGATTCTCAGTGCAGGTCAAGTCCAGGGCGAGGCAGGTCACCACCACCAGCGTCAGGAAGCTCGATTTCCAGAGTGGGTTCTTTAAAATGCCCAGACACAAACCCAGTTTTCAACTCCGATATTCCACTCTGATCTTAAGAATGTCAACAGTTTTTCCTTTTTTTTAGATAAAAAAGCTCTATCTTTAAATAAAAGAGTAACCATCAAGTGACAGCAGAGAGAGAAAGGATGAGCTTTTGAAGGCGTGCGGGCAGCGGTCCAGTCCGTGGCAGGGCGCGCACTAAAGGAAGAGCTCTTCCATCCGACCAGAAAGGACTAACTCAGGGCAAGTGTGGAGAGCCATCTCTAAGTGTCAGGCTCACAAAGGCCCTTGTTTCGGAAAGATGCTGCCAAGTCACGCTTACCTTCGACCACTTGCTTTTCTTCTTCTGCCTTGATCTGATTGGCCACCTTCTCCAGTTCTTCCTGCAGCTGAGGTGAAGAGGTGTGAGCGCGGGCAAACTCATTGAGCGTCTGCCAGGCGCTTTTCAGGGAGCTGATGAAGCCCTGCTTCAGATCAGAGCCCATGCGCGAGAGGCTCTCCTTCAACTCTAGAGAGATGGAGATGGCACAGCAACCTCATCAATCCCAGGGCACAACTCTGCCAACAGAACTTAGTCACAATCACCACGCTTAGCAGACAGAAGACAGCCTTTTAACGCTCTCTTAAATTTAAAGTATAAGGAGCTTCCCACCCAAGAACTCAGCACAGTTAAAACTGTCTTATCTTGTCATTTTTCAAAATGACTAAAGAGTTCACGATGCAAGAACATGATGTTCTATTAAATTGGCATTCCAGGACACACACCTTCCCGACAGATTGCTGAAGAAAAATGTGTGCATAAGCAAATGTGTTGAAGAAAGCTGATGGTGCCCGGCTATCAAAAGCTATAGCATCTGGGGTCTTAAAGGCTTGAAGATAAACAAGCAGCCATCTAGCTCAGAAGCAACAAAGCCCACATGGAAAAAGCACAGCAGCCTGTGTGACCACGAGCTATCAAAGGGATCAGGTATCAAGCATCAAAGAACAAAAAAATCGTATCGTTGTAAATGTGGGTGAGTGCAGAGTGGAGACTCAAAGCCCATCGGTAGGCAACTGGACACCCCCTTACTGAAGGGTTGTGGGGAGAAGATGAGCCAGTCAGGGTGCAGGGTAACAACGATGAAACATATAACTTTCCTCTAGTTCTTAAATGCTTCCTCCCCACCACTATCATGATCCCAATTCTACCTTACAAATCTGGCTAGACCAGAGGATGTACATTGGTACAGATAGCAACTGGAAACACAGGGAATCCAGGACAGATGACTCCTTCAGGACCAGTGGTGAGAGTGGCGATGCCTGGAGGGTGGAGGGAATGTGGGGTAGAAAGGGGGAACCGATTACAAGAATCTACATAGAGCCTCCTCCCTGGGGGATGGACAGAAGAGAAGAGGGCGGGGGGAGACATAGGACAGTGTAACATGACAAAATAATAATAATTTATGAATTATGAAGGGTTCATGAGGGAGGGGGGGGAGGGAGGGAGAAAAATGAGTAACTGATATTAAGGGCTCAAGTAGAAAGCAAATGGTTTGAGAATGATGATGGCAACAAATGTACATATATGCTTGACACAATAGATGTATGTATGTATGTGTGTATGTATGTATGACACAATAGAAGTATTAAGAATTGTACGAGCCCCCAATAAAGTGATTTTCTAAAATAATAATAAAGAGTTCAAGTACCATAAAAATAGAAGGGGGAACCGATTACAAGGATCTACATATAGCCCCCTCCCAGGGGAATGGTTAACAGAGAAGTGGGTGAGGGGAGACATCGGTCAGTGTAAAACATGGAAAAATAATGATTTATAAATAATCAGGGGGCATGAGGGAGGGAGGGGAAAAATGAGGAGCTGATACCAGGGGCTCGAGTCGAAAGCAAATGTTTTGAGAATGATGAGGGCAACAAAAATACAAATGTGACACACTCAATGGATGTGTGTATGGACTGTGATTAAGAGTTGTACGAGCCCCCAATAAAATGATTTTTTTTTAAAAAGAACTGGAAAAAATATTTGAAATATTAAAATATTCATTAAAACTCTGAAGAAGAAGAAAAAAAAAAGAAGGCCAGGAGAGCTTATACCAAGGGCTCAAGGAGACATGTTTTAGAAATGATGACAACGTATGTGTAAATAAGCTTGATGCAATTGATGTATGGAATGTTATAAGAGCTGTAAGAGACCCCAATAAAAATGATTTTAAAAAAACTAAATGTCTAGAAAAGAACAATGGAACATATGTACAAACATGCCTGATATAATTGATGTAAGGATTGTAATAAGAGTTGTAAGAGCCCCCAATAAAATGATCTTTTAATTACAAAAAAAAGTAAGCACATTCATGTACTTTTGCATTTAAAAATGGGTCCATGATAATTTTTAATCAGTTTTTCTCCTCTGTAGAAGAGGCATGGTTTTCAGAACTTCACTCTTACACAAGCACAGTGTAAACGTCTAACTTAGAAACCAAGGGCCCTGCCCCTTGGGCTTCCATCTAGTAATATTTGAGTCAGTCCTTCAGTTATCTGATTTCTCATCTTCACAAGAGTTAGCTATTGATCCAACTACATATAACCCCCTTCCCAGGGGGACAGACAACAGAAAAGTGGGTGAAGGGAGACACTGGTCAGTGTAAGACATGAAAAAATAATTTCTAAATTATCAAGAGTTCATGAGGGAGGGAGGGTGGGGAAGTGGGTGGGGTGATACCATGGGCTCAAGTAGATAGAAAATGTTTTGAAAATGATGATGGCAACATATGTACAAATATGCTTGACACAATGGATGGATGTATAAGAGCTGTATGAGCCCCCAATAAAATGATTTTTTAAAATAAATAAAAAGCACAAATGTAGCAGGCAATCGAAGGAAGAACACTAGGCGGTATCAAATGTATCTCCTGGCAGTTTTTGGTCTTTGGTTCAAACGTTTCTCCTCTTCCAAATATTATAACCAAACTCTATCCCAATCTAACTAGGTACCTTATCACCACCTTTCCCTTCCCTAATTCTCCCAACAAATGGCAGGTAAGTCACCAGGGAGAAACTCGTCCAGGACTTTCTAGACACTCATGTTAAGAGTTCAAAAGTGTCGTTCGACCTCCGGCAAGGGCTACGGAGCACTGATTCTGTCTGAGAAGACTCACACTGTGAGGTTTCATGATTCATGACAGATCATCAAACGGCAGGGAGGAAACACGTTTCATTCCGTCACTTTACCTAAGTGGAGCCTTTTCCTGCCTTTGTGATGTGGGATGAGAACCGCTTTGAGGTCCAAGTCTGGAACAATCATAGGTTCTAACCTATATGCCACTGGATCAAGCTGTAAGAGGAAGGATTGAAAAGTTAGGAAAACCCGTTTTAGTTTGCGTTACACCTCAGCTGGAGGAAAAAAATGGGTCACTGGCAGGCCGGAGATTGATCCTGTCTTATTCAAATACCAGTGATCAAATTACAAAGTCACAGAATTCTTTCTTTATACAAAGGTTTTTGATTAAAAAATTAACTAGGGAGTCTCTGACTTAAGCGTTAAAGAAAAAGCTGAGTCATACAAAATAGAGATCAGTGCTAACTCTCCAGAAATGAGATTTTGAGAATCTGGTCTCACTGCGGCTGAGTTGATGCTGACTCAAAGCTATCCTAAAGGAAAAGGCAGACTGTCCCTGTAGGTTTCTGAGGCTATAAATCCTCAGGGGAGTAGAAAGCCTCATCTTTCTCCACAGAGTAGCTAGTGGTTTCAAACTGCTGACCTTGTGGTTAGCAGCCCAATGCGTCACCCACTATATGCCACGAGGGTTCCAAGAATACATTAGGTCAGAAAGAAGCCGGTTCTTCATCTTCTCTGAAAGAGAAAGGTAGCCAGTTTGCTCACCGGGTGATAAACGTTGAAGAACCCTTTACAGGTCGGAAGCTTGTAGTTCTCGTCTATCCGGTCCACTCCCCGGATGGTGAGGAACATTCCAATTGGAGATCCCAAGGCAAAGAAAATCTCTGGCTCAAAGTCTAATGAGCTGTAAACAACAGAGACCTGGAGAGAACCAACCACAAGACGATCATTCCAATGTCATGTCGTTCAGTCTTCAGACAGCTCCTGGAACCCACTGCCTCCGTTAACAACACTCGAGCACCCGGTGCTAAGGATGCCAGGGCTGCAGGTGGCCGGTCAGCTAGCTCAAAAGGGCTGAAACGTCTCTCTGAAGCCCGATCACCTGCAGACCGTCATTTCCTCTGGCCATAATGGAGCCTACAGTGTAACATACGCCGCAAATGAGGGCCTTCGAGAAGTTCATGGAAGATCCCATTCTCTTTTCATTTCACTTGCCCACAGATGCATGGACGCCCCTCCCTCATGTCTTGTTTCTGTTGGGTGCTACCAGTTCAGCACCAGCTCACAGCAGCCTTACAGGACAGAAGAGAAGGACCACATCCCCCTGTGAGCCTAACAGGCCTCTCCTCCTGCACGGCTACTGAGAGGGTTTGAACCACCAATGTTCCACCAGCATTCTTGACAGAGTCTGAGGCAGTGGTTCTCAACCTTCCAAATGCGGCGACCCTTTAATACAGTTCCTCATGTTGTAGTGACTCCGCGTGTGGGCGTGTCTGCATGTGGGCGGACCCGTGTGGAGATGGATAGAGGAGCGGTGTCTCAGTTCCTAAGACCAAACTTTTAAAACAGGAAGCCAGTTCACTGTCCCTCAGACCGTTGGAGGGCTGGAATATAGTTTAAAAACAAGCTATGAACAAATTCCTATGCACACTGCACCTATCTTATTTTGAAGTGAAAAAACAATATGGGCAAAAACACCCGGCAGGCTGGATAAATGTCCTCAGTGGGCCGCATGTGGCCCACGGACCGTAGTTTGAGGACCCCTGGTCTTAGGTGACCCCTGTGAAAGGGTCGTTTGACCCCCAAAGGGGTTGCAACCACCAGGCTGAGAACCGCTGGTCTAAGGTAACTGCTATATTCCCATCCTAAGTCTGGGTACAAGGGCAGGATCTAGAACAAACAGCCGGCTTTGGGTCCTGACCCTCCTCTGTACTTGCCCCACGCATGAGCTGTGCAAGTGTCTTCACCTGTCTCCTCGGCTGCAAACTCGGGGGCAACGCGATGCCAACCAAGAGTCGGGCGAGAGCAAGGAGCCGAATCCCCGGTGGCGAGCGCTTAGCACAAAGGTTAATGCGTTTCTCACAGAGAGAACACCTGTGTGAATAACACCCACAGGAAACGAACGTGCAAGGGGGTTTCTCTGTTTGCAAAACACATACGCATGTCGTTTGCATAAAAATGCAGGACCTCTATTATAATTACCATCCCCACTTTCCATTAGAAAAAGGAGTTGTCCCTGAGGAGTCCCCGTGCTCACACGCTGCCGTTCCATAAGCCATTTATGTACCCACGGGAAGATGCTTAACTAAGGGGCTTCCAAAAGCTCATGGAAAAGTGGAATTATAAGATCATGAAATGTTTCCGCTCACTTCCTAAAGCCCCTCATATACACAGCTGTAAATACACTGGATGTAACACTGTCTAGAAAAGATCTTTAACACTTTCCAAGCCGTCAAGGTAAAAGCACACTAGCCTCCGTAATAAAATATGGCTACTATTCTCAACTACCTGGTCAATTTTCATAGGAATGTGTCCCCCTAAGGAAGAAATGCGAGTGCTAAAAATAAAATCTGAGTGAGCACAGCTAACCTCTCACACAGAAACTGAAGGGTACTCCAAACCTCAGTTTCTAATTGCAGCTGCTGTCATCAGGCGTGCCCAAGAAAGGCGACGCTCACAGCCCGAGCTGGGACAAAGACATGCAAGAGGGAAATAGACTCCGTACATGTTCAGCCCCTCCCTTGAGGTTTATAAAAGGAGCACACAACTTTTATTAAGAGAAAGCCAGCTTTCCTCCCTCATTACGTAGAAGCTGAATTACGCAATGTTTAAAGGGTTGAAAGCTAGAATGCCTGGCCGAGCTGACAGCATTACAAGGGCAGAGTGCACATTAGCACAGAGTTTTAGCCTTGTACGTGTGTATGGATCCAGGAAGCAGGTGTGGTAACAACTAAGGAGATATTTGTATTAAAAAGAATAAACTCTGCTGAAGCCCTAGACTGGTGTCTTCCAAACAGTCATTCTGGTGACCCCTCCTCCCTGACAGTGTCACTCAAGGTGGTCCCTACCACCTAAATCCCCCAGTGAGTGACACCACTGCCCAGCCAACACGCTCACTTGCCTGTCCGGTGCCAACTCCAAAGGAGTCATAATCGACGTGCACCGAGGAAACACAGGCGCCGACGGGCAGCTTCCTCTTTGACTCGCTAGCAGAGTCTGCGGGGAGAGGAGCCCTTTCCTTGGCTTTCGGGGCACTTTCCTCTTGCCCTTTGGTCGAAGCGGCTGCCATTGCCTTCCTCTCCAACGCCGCTCTTTTCCGTTCCTGTGGGAGACCAAGGGGGTCATGTCACCATGAGGGAGGGTCCCCTCTCTGCTGTCAACACTGAGCCTGCCATCTCGCTATCAATCAATGATTAATTTGCTGCACGTAACAGCACCGTGTTTGGGAGAAATGTCCTTTATTCTTCAATATATTTTATTGTTTTGGTGAGAGTCCATATAGCACATTCGGTTCCCATTAAACAATTTCTATACATAGTGTTCAATGGACATGTCCTTTTGAGAGGCGTTTACTAAGTCTTACAGACAACAAGCCCAGAGCTCAAGAAAATGTTTTGAGAATGATGATGGCAACGAATGTACAAATGTACTTGACACAATGGATGGATGGATGGATTGTGATAAGAGTTGTACAAGCCACCAATAAAATGACTTAAAAAGTAAATAAAAAGAAATAATAAATTTATAAGAAATTCTGTAGGAAAAAGCTTCAGAAAACCTCACAGGGCAAGACAACTACAGTTAAATCTGAGTATTGGCTAACACTATGTAACCACATTATCTCTCTTATTTTTCACATTTCAATATGTAATCAGAAGTCTTTAAAAGGCAACTTCTCCTTTCACAGCCTCAAACTTTAAACAGACCTTTTAGAACTGGACAATGTATCGGCTTCCTATAAAGATCTGCTAGTTTAGGAGAAATGTCTTCATTCAACATGTTCACACTCTGTATAATCCAGAAGGAGCCACAAGTTTTCAGTGAGCCTGTGTGCTACGTTCATCCAATGGAATACTACTGAGAGATTAACAATGATCATCAAATGTCAGGTTCACTGGGAAGGCGGACTGGTGAAACCACTGAGACTCTGGTCCTTAGTCACTGTCCCTTCAGGTCTGGAACTGAACTCAGCCCAAAACTCACCCTTTACACTAGAGTGACCGACCAGGTAAGATCCAAAGGGCAGCATTTTGCCAAGGACAGAGCTCAGAGGGTTAGGGGAGGGAGGGAGGGAAACCAGAAACACAGGAAGGAGCAGGGGACGTGGGGTGGGGCAGGAGGCAGAGGGACTGCACATGTGAGATTGAATCAAAGGCATGTGAGCTGCTGAATATAAAACTATCATCTGCTCTATAAAACTTCCCCTAGTTTCATAATTATACGTTTAAATTTTTTAAAATGTTGAGGACCTAATGCCAGGGGCTTAAGTGGAGAGGAAATGTTTCGAGAATGATGAGGGCAATGAATGTACAAATGCGCTTTACACAATTGATGTGTGTATTGATTGTGATAAGAGTTGTATGAGCCCCTAATAAAATGATTAAAATAAATAAATGTTTAGTACTTTGAGTAATAGGAGCCATATAAACTGATTCTATTTACACAAATTTCCAATAGGCCAATTATTTATACCACAGTGACAGAAATCCGAACAGTAGTTGTGTGGGGAAGAGAGGTGACCAAAGAGAGACCCAAGTCCCAGAAATGTTCTACCCATTGTAGGTGTGGGTAGGGTCCCCAACTGGCACACAACACGTAGGGTCTGCGCATCTCAACATCAGTAAAGAAACAAAAGCTTGGGGGTGTTGATGTTGGTAACAGCAAGATCAAATCAGTTCACACTGGTGGGTCATCAGACCGGCAGGTAAGCAGCAACAGTGGCACCAGGGCCACCTGCCCTCCTTTCAGCAGCTCTCCTTCCCTGGGCTGTGAACAGCCTTGCCAAAGTCTGCTTACACTGCTATCCACAGCCTGCACCAGATGGTCGCTCAAGGCGATGAACTCATCCCCAGGAGTGGAAACTAGGAAACACCGGGGAGGATTCCAGTTGCTTAATTCACTTTTGAATTAAGTGAGGAAGAGAGGAAACAGAAAGGCCCCCGGCCCATCAGCTTGCAACTGCTTCCGCCATGAAGGCTGGTAAAGCTTGGGGAACCCCACTCTTGGGCAGGGACCTGTGTTTCAGTCTAAAATCCACAAGACATTGTCAGGGCTCTTCGTTTTTAAAGCGCTTTCGCATGCAAAGGGGCTCCCCACAAGACTAAGAGGCCTCACTACCCCTGGCACCAGTCTGTGCAGGCCCCACCTGGAAACTAAGTGAGACCTGGAAACTAAGTGAGCACATGCATTTGTGACTATCAACGATCCCTAATACTCCCGAGGATCTCCCTTTTAAATGAAAATCACTACAGGGCACACAAAGAAAGAAAGAAAAATGCTCAGTATTTCATCTCCTTATCAGAAAAATAAAGGGCAAATTCTGGCCGGATGACTTGAGTTACAGCAAATCAATGGAACACGTGCCCACTCTCCTAGGGGTGAAGCTGGCAGTTCCTTGTTCTCTGGGAGAACAGGGTGGGCAGCGATCAATGGCCCGACAGGAGTGCTTCTGGGAGCATCCAGAGGCAATTACTCTTGAATTTAACCAACATGATCACTTGATGGGTTTTCATTCTTTCCACAGCACTGGAGAATGCTATAATCTAGACACCCAACTGACGTATATGACGTCTATACCCTGGGCCCCTTCTAGGCATCCTTCAAGGAGGACAGACGGCTTCCAGCAAAATCAAGCCAAGGACATAGCATGGCGGCTGAAATAGTTGTTCTTTTGCGCTGGGGAGCTTGGCACCGGCTGCGCTTCACAGCTGTACTCGGGGATGAGCGTCTGCCCAGGTGCAGCAGCCACTCTGCGATGAGGAAATGGCACAGCGCACAGGCCCAGTCCCGGTCTGACCAGCTGAGATGGAATTTCTCTGCCTGGCTGCCCAGGGCAGTGAAGGCTCACCTGTAAAAGCCACTCACTCGACCAGTGACCCTTTAATACAGCTCTTCATATTGTGGTGACCCCAACCATAAAATTATTTTCTTTGCTACTTCATCACTGTCATTTTGCTCCTGTGATGAATCGGGCGACCCCTGTGAAAGGGTCGTTCGACCCCCAAAGGGGTCGGGACCCACAGGTTGAGAACCGCTGCTCTAGCCTGTGAAGATTTAGCTTTAACCAACAAGGTTAAACAAGCCAACAAGCTCCTCCTCGTGGTGCAGTGATTACGCACTGGACTTCGATCCGAAAAATCGACTGGACGAAACCACCAGCTGCTCCAAGGGAGAACGATGGGGCTTTCTGCTCCCGTCAACAGTCTTGGAGACGCACAGGGGCAGCTCTAGGTCAGCATGGACTCCACGGCACCGAGTGAACTCATCGCAGCCTTCCCTTGGGGTGGGCCCTCCTTTCCCACCACCTGACTCCGGACGCCTGACAGCCCCCAGCCTCATGCCCCTTCAACGGTGTGTCCACACTGCCATCGGCATGAACGCGCCACAAGCAGACCCAGTCCCGGAGCTGCCCTCACGGCCTCCCTGCCAAAGTGACATAGGAGCCCAAAGCATATGGGAGAAAACGCCAAGGGACACTAGCACTGTCTCAACGCGATCAGAATTTGTACGGCGGGCGGGCAGATGGGGCGGCCTCTAGGATGAGTGCTTACAAGGACTTTAACGCTGAAGTCGGCCAGACACAAGTGCCCCCCCCCCCCAACCGCTCCCTAGCTGGAGAAAATTCAAACTGCCACACCTGTCATTCTGACCTTCAGAACCCCGCCCCACCCTAGTCCCGGCTCACCCGATTCTTCTCTGCAGGGAAACTGAAGTCCATTCCAGTGCAGCCATTCCCCTCAGCCTCCACTCCCTTCAAACTCAGCAGCAACGCCCAGAGAATCTCTCCTCAGCCCAGACTCCTCCTCCCTTCCGGCTCCCACAGCTCAAGTGGCCTGTCACTGGGCTGACATGGTCAGATCTCCCCGCTAATTAACCTGTACCCCCTCGTTCAACCCCATACTGGGTACTAAGTTGCACCTGCCTGTGTCATTCTCAAACCTATTTTATGAGGGAGATCTGTCATCTCACTTTCAAACAGAGAACACGTCAAAGATGAAAGAAACTAAGCCAACTGCTCCAGTGCTGCCGCGGCTAAGCAGCTGGACTGGGAATCGTGGGACCGACTGCACGCTCTGCCAAGAGCTTTAACACCAGCTTTAAACCTGAAAGTCCAGGAGAATTAGGGGAAGGTGGGGGGAGAAAGGGGGAATCAATCACAAGGATCAACATATAACCCCCTCCCAGGGAGACAAACGACGGAAAAGTGGTGAGGGGCGACAGTGGACGATGTAAAATATGAAAATAATGATTTATAACTTAGCAAGGGTTCATGAGGGAGGGTGGGCGGGGGAGGGAGGGGGACGAAATGGGGAGCTGATTTCAGGGGCTCAAGTGGGAAGAGAATGCTTTCAAAATGTTGATGGCTACGGTCTGGGGACGGCTCCTGCATGGCTGGACCCGCCCAGCAGTGGGTGCAGTCCCACCCTGACCTAGAGCAAATGCTGGGGTGCTCCCCTGGGCTTGAAACTTGCAGTAACAGGTGTGAACATTCTAGTAAGTAGTTTGATGATCATGTATGCTACTGCAAACAGGGGAAAAAGGAAAGAAAATGATGATGGCGGCATATTGCAAATGTGCTTGACACATTGGAGGAATGTATGGATTGTGACGAGAGATGGAAGAGCCTCCAATAAATGTATTTTAAAAAAAATCTAAAAGTCCTGCATGCTCAACACTCTCCTGTCCCAGGAAAGGCAGGCTAGTAGGTCGCCCAAAGTGGGAGCTGAGCTCGGTTCTGGCCAACTCCCCGGCCAGCCCGAGCAGCCCTGGCCTACAGGGTTCCGCAGAGCAAAGCCTCACCAGCGTGGCCGCTTTCTGCTTCACGAAGTTTGAGATCTTCTTCCTGGGCCCCAGGGGTATGTCCATCTCCTTCAGGTCGTCAATCGTGCACATCAGCTTTCAGAGGAAACAAACCAGCATGTCGTGAACCAAACGAGGAGCAGAGCACACAAACTGCACTGAGACACTTTCACACAAAGCCACGTCCTCGAGCACGGCTTCTCAAACGTATGTGGCCCACAGCCTTTTCTGGGAAAAATAATGACTCAGCACCCGTCCACCCGGCAATTGAAAACATCTGCTTTTGCAGCCACCACCCCGCCCCGGTATCATTCCTGTACCCCACTGGGGTGGTGCCGCCCACTTTGGGGACTGCTGGTCTAAAGCAATCCAAGATTTAGTCGGTGACAAAGGTATTTCTGGCTGGTTTGTTTGGACGTCACACACTAGTTTGGGCTGGGAAGTCCTTGGTCCCCAGATCCAGGTTGTTCCATCCTTCCGTTTCCAACAGAGAGCATTGAATGAAGTCAAGCATCGGGCAAAGTCTCTCTCGCTCACTCACTCCTCCCGCTACCCCAACCACCCAATTCTCCAGCAGGCAGCTCCTTCCTGCGGGCACCGTGGTCTCCTCCTGGAACACTTTGGGCCAAGCCAGCACTTAGATCTGCTGGTGTGTGGTCAGCCTGCAGCCTGCTGCCCACTCAGAACTGAGCTTGGCCCTCTCCCCGCAGGGCACCTGAGACCCGGTGCCTTGGCTGCGTCAGTCGTTCAACGCACCTCATGCACCTCCTGGCAGACACTGAAGGCGTCCACAGGTTTGCCACGTCCCACAACGCTGCAGGGTGCATGCTCAGCGGCACTCGTGTGTGAGCTGCTGGGTCCAGCGGGATGTCCTCTTCACGTTTCAGAAGATGCCCAAGGGCCTCTACGCTCCACAGCTGTTTGGTGCTCTGGGGTCAGTTCAGTTCCAACCCACAGGGACCCGATGTACAGCAGAACCAAGCACTGGCCGGCTCACAATTGTGTGTGTGTGTGTGTGTGTGTGTGTGTGTGTGTACACACACACGCACGCCAGAGGCTTTCTCTCTTTCCCGCGCACCCACCCGACTTCACAAGCAAAGCCAGGAGGGGCCGTGCCCATTCACACTCCCACCAGCAGCTTCTATCGGTGCTTTCCCTTCGGCCCAGTCCAGCCACAGTGACAGATTTTTTTTGTTTTTGTTTTTAATTCTCTTACTCTGAGTTTTCTCACGTTAGGTCATTTGTTACCTCCTCTTCTGAGACCCATCTGTTCATATTCTTTGTTTTCCTTCTGGGTGGATGATCTCTTCTCTCTTTCTAAAGGTACGGTATATACTCATATAATTAAATTTCTAAGACACCCCAACCACTATTACCAAAGAGTTTGTTTTTGAAAATATTCTCACACTTTACGGATCTCAAACTTGTCTTCAGCATTTAGCTCAAAGGGCTCGCCATCTTCAAAAACCCATTTCTATAAAAAATAAAATAAACCTCCTTAGCTGAGAACTCTGTCCAGGAAGCAAGGCAACCTTTGCAGGCCATGACCAGCCTTCTCCCACTTGCCCAAGCCAGCAGGGCAGAGCAGAGAGGGAGGTGCAGGCAGGAAGGCACAAGGCAAGATCATTTCCCTCGGCACCTGGCGGCTGGAGCTCAGACAGAGTCACTGCTGGAGGAGGAGGAATGCCTGCCATGCTTGTGGTGTTTGTGCACTTTCTCATGAGCTGCCTTCATCTTCTTCCGCAGCTTCTTGCCCATCACCACTCCTGGTCCTCCTGTGTCAGGAGTCGAGTATGGAGAGGGTAGGGTCCTGCGGGTCGGCATCCTGGAAACCCTGGTGGGGGCACAGGTTGAGGGGATCCACTTGGTGGAAGCTGGGTTCCTTGGGGCACTAATGGGAGAGTGGGAGAGAGGCCCGGAGGGAAGGCAGGGTTAGCAGGTGGTGAGTGGACGGGGCTGGGACCTGCAGGGGCTGTGATGGTGGACTTGGCCCCAGCTGCCCAGCACTGGGCATCCACATGTTGACTGAAGTATTTCTGCATGTCTTTACACCACTGCCCGGGCTTGATTCCTTCTTCTTCCCAACCTCCCCCCTGGATGACGATGGTCTCTGGCAATTGATTTGCAGAAGCTTTGGGTGCTACGGAAACAAGCCCTTTGTCTCTGCGTCTTCTGAGTATTTTCTCGCCATCGTCCTTTTATTGGTCTTCGTGGTGTCTTGTGCTGTGAGGAAGAAAGTTTTTTTATCTTTTATGTCTTCTGGGTTCTCTGTCATCCTAGAAATGTCTTCCCAGAGTTTTTTATCTGGTTTTGGTTTTGGTTTTTTTGGGTTTTTTAATCTCTAATGTTTTTCACTTTAACATTAAAACCTTTGACTTATCTGGACTCTATTTTGATACCAGAGCATCTGAATCCATCTTCATGTTTAATCGCACACACAGGAAAAACAGTCCACAAAAACCCATCCCACCATCCTCCATACCAGAGACTCCATATCAATCTTCTCCTTTTCAAAAGTGCTGGCGTACTCCAAGAGGCTCAGTGCTTCCAGAGTGTCCTGTAACGTCAGGACCTCCGCATCGCCAACGGCCAGGTCGCAGGCCTCATCCACAGGCAGCTTGGGCTCTTCCGTCACCTTTGAAAATTAAAGATAAGGCCGAGCATGACACAGCTTGACAGACTCACACAGGGAGCCAGCCCAGGCCCCCGCATCCTGCGCTCACTGCACAGAGCAGTCTTCAGCATGTCTGATGTGCAGAGCAGCGGTCCACTGGGCTCATCACTCATCCGCTCGCTTACCACGGTGATCTGCTTTTTTCTTTTTTAAAAATTGAGATCTTTCTCTCACATTGAAATGTCTAATCCTGGGGGAACTGATCATAATGATCTACATATAACCCCCTCCTGAGGGAATGGACAACAGAAAAGTGGGTGAAGGGAGACAGTGGTCAATGTAAGACATGAAAAAAAAATTAAAATTATCAAGGGTTCGGGCGAGGGGAATGAACTAATACCAAGGACTCAAGTAGAAAGAAAATATTTTGAAAATGATCGTGGCAACATACGTACAAATGTGCTCGACACATGGATGGGTGGATGGCTTGAGATGAGAGCTGTACAAGTCCCCAATAAAATGATTTTTTAAAAAGAAAGAAATGTATAATCCATGAGGAAGAAGAGTGAAGTGAGAAACTCGAATAACTAGTTATATGGCTCCATTACGCTCCCAAGCCTTAGTGTAACCTTAACACAGGAAACCATTTCAGAAAGTAGCGCACACTCCAACCACAAGCCCACATGCTAAGCACAGCGTGTAAGGGTGTACCTGCTTTTCTGGAACACATGACTGCTTCTCAACGCCGTTAGCAACAGCTGGAGGCCCAGGAGACTTGGACAAATTCCCATCTTTCTGATTGGACAGTATGTCGAACAGTATTAAAGAACCTAAGGAAAAGAAGCACTTGGCTTAACCTGGTCTGAAGGGTTTTTAGGGCACTCCTAAGTGAGAACACTAAAGAAATTCTCCTTAACTTCTTTGTCCCCAAATGCCATCAGCAGACACACGCCGACGTCAGATGTTAATCAAACCTGGACCATCAGTACTTGATAAGCAAATCATGATTTGACCACCCGGCAGGAGGAACTGAAATACAACAGCCGCCCTCGGTGGTACAGGAGCCCTGATGGCCCCGTGGTCACGTGTTGGGCTGCTAACCCCCAGGCGAGCCCTGGACAGCACCAGCTGCTCCGTGGGGGAAAGAGAAGGCTTCCTAGTCCCGCAGGGAGCTGCAGTCTCAGAGAGCCCACAAGGGCAGCTCTGCCCTATCTTACAGGACAAGCCAAGAGAGAGAGACCCGAGCCGATGGCAGGGAGTTGGGAGATGCCGAGAGGTGAACGGTAAAGGCAGCAGCTGAACCCAAAGCACGGAGTCTTACAGGACCCCACCCTCATGATGTCACCGAGCCAGAAAGCAGAGCCAGCTCAGCAGTCCTGTGGTTTACAATGTGCACAAGTGACACTCTTACCTAAACTGTGACCAGCCACGGAGATGCCTCCTTGGAAGTCTGGGTTCCGACTCATAAAGAGGGTGTGCAGCCGGTTTATCTCCTGCCCGACTTTCTCCACAATCGCCTGGCAGTAGGTGGGGCTATTGTAGAACAACACGTCCAGCAGGGTTTCATTGGTGAAGTGCCGGAACCGGCCAATGCTCGGCAGGGTGATCTTCTTAATATTCCTGTGTGACGAGAACAAAAGCAAAGTCTTTTCGGCCCGTCTCGACCTTCAATCTGCGGATATGAACCCACCGCTGCTTAGATCTTAATTCCCAAAACCCCAGAGACAAATTACAACTTCATTCCGGAGACAAAGGTCACTATTTAAAAATCAACATAAACAGAAATGTTACTTGGCCCAGAGCTGCACTATGGATTTGAGATTCTCTCAAGAGTGCAAGTCTATAAGACACATGCAAATCTTTTCATTTTATTATTCCAGAGGAAAGCCCACTCTTCCAGTTTAGCTCCAGATGGATAAACAGGACACCTGCCAAAACCTGCAGGTGGGAAGGGGAGCAGAGGGGATAGCAGGAAAGGCATTTCATGGACAGAACTGGCTCTGGGGTTGGTAAGGCCACAGTGAAGTCTAGAAAGAAAATGCTGCACGGGGGCACCGACCATGGAGAGGAGACCGCTCAGAAGATCCACTTCATCAAACCAAACACCCTGCCTACGATATCATGACAGCCCCTAAAACCCAGAAGGTTTTCAGACTTGAATCTCCCCATGAGTATGACCCTCGTTCTCAAATGGGAGAATCCAAAATGAAGTGGGGGGATACGGGATACGCAGTGTCCTAGTGCCCGGCCAGTGCTGCTAGCAGCCAGGGGACATGAGCCAAGGCTGCTGCTCAGCCTGCAGCACCCCCGACAGCCAGTACCTAACCAAGAGCATTCGCTCTGAGGAACAATCATGCCCATCATCTCACACACGGCAGGGGTGATTCTGTACCCAGGGATGTTACCGACAGGGGGAATGGGGCGCCATATGGGGCTACCTTGGTGGCAAAGGAGGCTGGAGATGCTGCTCACCACCCTCCAGGGCACAGGACCACCTCCTGTCAGCTTCACTTTATAATAGGAGAAGGTTTTAAAACCATTATGAGGTGGGGCTTCAAAAGGTCCATGGAAAATGGAACTAAAAGATAATGGCATTTTTCTACAAGCCTTTTGAAGCCCCTGAGACTGTAAAGAGTTACAGTCTCCAAAACCCACAAGGACAATTCTACCCTGTGCTATATGGTCACTATGAGTCAGAATTGCCTCGATGGCAGTGAGTTTGGATTGGAGTTTTGGTACAGTTTGTTTCACACACATACATATATGTCTATATACACAAAGTAACATGCAAGCTTAGTATTTCAACATGGGTTGGACCAAGTATTTAACAAAATAAAAGAAACATCAAAACAAAATTAACGACTTCAAACTACAGATTTAAATTGTGACTCTAAGTTGGACTCATCTGAAAAGTAAGTTATCAAAATCCACCAACCTGTCGACCCCTGCAGCGTCCCCACCCAGGGAACTATGCCAGTGGACTGGCAGGAACTCCACTCTGCTGACTCTCTGGTCATCTAAGGGCTTCTTAAAGTGTGTCTGCAGCAGTTTGAGGGAAACCACCCTAAACTCATCCACTTTGGAAAAAAATTGAAACAAAAATCAGATAAGGGAAATCAAATTGCTTCAACCACCTTCCTCGAAAACTACAAAAAGCAAATTCAAATAAGAGCAATTCATCAGCCTGTCCCCATTTTATAACTAGATAGCAACAATGATCTTAAATCTGTCAATATTTGTTTTTGTTTTTTTGGAGAAAAAAAATGAAGTTGGCCAATTTTGTCAAAAAGGTAAAAATTTAAATATAACCTTTAGGAAATTCTTTTTAACTTTTCATTAGGCCAGAGAAATGCATTAAGTGGCTGAAAACCATCGCCTGAACTACCAGGACAGGGAGGTGATGCAGCACTGTGGGGCCAAACTCCGCCTGCACAGCCTGCCCCGAGAGGGGCTGCCTGGGACGCTGGTGAGGTGGCAGCGCCCCTGTGGGCAACTAGTGTGGGGATGACAGCGAAGTGGGTCCCCTCACCTACCCCCCAAGTGCTTGCTGTGAGGCAGACATGAAAGAACGCACACAAGGTGCTTGGCACAGCCCAAGTACCCGATGGATAGGAACCATCATGGCACAGTGGGGCAACTATGTAAACCGGGTCACCAGGGTGCCAGCAAACGGCTCACAACCACCGTCCAGGTGAGCCTCGCCCCTGGAGAGGCTCAGGCAGCGGTGAACTCAATGACTGATTTCCACGGCCCCTGCTCTTTCCTCAGTCTCGAGCCTTTTGAGTTAGGTGTGTCATGAGAGGCAACTAAGTGGAAATGAACTGTCCCCAGTCTGCATCTAAGCAAGCAGCACATCCTAAAGAAACCGTCCCTTAACGACTCTTCTACTCCTCCTCCAGTCACCCCTGAAAGAAAGCAACACCGCCGGTCACTTACCACATTCAATGATGCTTCTGAAGCGCAGGTCACAGACAGGGCCGATGCCGTGCACCACGAACACCAGGTGGTCAACCTGAGGCCGCTCCCCTATGCCAACAAAGCAGCCCGGATGAAGGCTGGGCAGCTGGGCGGGTCTCCCTAACTAACTAGCAATCGTCTAGAACCTAGACTCTAGATCAGGGGTTGGCAAACTTTCCAGACAGATGAGTCAATCCTGTCCCTGGCAGCAATTTAAAAATTATTCAACAGCCATCGTTATATTTTTATAAACGAATGAAATCACCATTATTGGAAATAATATCCTTCTAACTTTTCAGTTTTACTTCAGAGCCCCAGGTACATACCAAAAGAACCGCACATGGCCTTGAGTGGCAGTTTATCGACCCATAGTCTAGACACCCTTGTGCCATCCACACCACACTCGCCAAAGAAATGCAGGACTCTTCCCAACCTGTGAAGGCAGCCTCCTCACCTTCTGCACCACACTAGAAGAGTGGCACTCAAAGGGCGGCTTGCCTAGTAACAGTGAAGTGGACCACAGGTGGAGGAAGCAGGTGGGCTCTGTTCCCAGAGCAATTAGCATCAGGGGCCCTGCAATCCTCACCTGCGGAGGCTCCGTAGCCTCATGATGCCTTCAGCACTGGCCAGTAAACTTAAAGCCCCACCTGGAGAACCCATTTGCTGACAGGAAGCTTTCGAATCTTTTCTCCAACTCCTTCCCCTGGCTTTGTAAGCTTTTACCCCAAGTTAAATTATCTACCATTTCTCCAACTCTGGGTGCCTCGTTCAGGTTGCATAACATAAGGACCTATTTACTTGGTAGTCTTCTAAGACCATGAAATAAATTGTCAAATATAATCCATCCTTTAAACGGCATAACAGAGAGCGCTAAGCATGCTCCCTGGAGCAAGGCTGGCAGAGGGCTTGCTCGGGAGTCAAATCCAGCCCAGTGTCTGTTTGGTAAATAAAGTTTGGTTACGGAGCACAGCTATGCTTCCAGATGGTTTACAGCTTCCTTCACACGTCAGTGGAACGCTGGAAAGCGGTAACAGAGCCCGGACAGCCCACACGGCCTAAAACTCTCACTACACCCCTGGCCCGTCAGTGGAAACATCTGCGACCCCTGTCCTGTCGTAGCACAACCAAGCCCTGAAGTCTCGTTTTCCCTGCTGGCAAAGTGCTTCTTCCAAACAACACCCACTTCAGAATCTGCGTGCTTTGTGTGTCCTCTACCAAAGTCTACAAGTTTCTACAGAAAGAGTAACAAAACTGAAGAGGAAGGTGACCAATCTGCCTCACTTCTGCACGTGGGTGGTTCCAGTAACTGCAGCGCTACAAGACAGCAGGCTGCAGATGCACCTTGGTGGCACCCAGGGGGCACCTACCGTCGGGGATTTCATCCAGGCTGTCGTCAATGCCCCGTTTGACCACCCTGGGCCTCGTCTGCCCATCCTGCGTGGTCCCCCACTCGTCTGGCACAGAGGAGGGCTGGAACTGGACGATCACCTTCAGGAGACAGCGGGAGGAGGATGAGCACCGTGACCAGACCCTGTCCGCTGCAGGCCGGCCTGCTCTCTCCAATACTGGTTAGTGTGGGCGGCTTACAAATCAAGGCCATACTCTTCTCCCCAAAGCCGTTTCCTAAAAGCCCTGCTAGAGTGTATTCACCGTCAACACCAAGCAAATCACTATCGATAACCCTGAAAAAAACGACTGTGTGCCAAGCTTACGGGAAGCCTTCCCATAAGCCACCTCCCCTCGGCTAACACTGGGCCTGGGTGACGATGCTGCCTCAGACAGAGAAGCCGAGCCTCAGAGACAGGAAGCATCAGAAAAATCACTCAACTTTTCTTAAAAAGCAAACAAGCTTCATGGAGACAAGACAAACAAAAGGCTGCCTTTTTTCCTTCAAAGAATGAAACAAGTCATTATCAAGGGTCAAAACCAAAAACCTGCCATCAAGTCAATTCTGACTCACGGTGACCCTGTGGACAGAGCAGAACGGCCCCTGGGTTTCCAAGGCTCCGAATCAGTGGTTCTCAGCCTTCCTCATGCCGCCACCCATCCTCATGCTGTGGTGACCCCCCAACCATAAAATTCTTTTTGTTACTACTTCATAACTGTCATTTTGCTACTGTTGCAAATCGGGCGACACCTGTCAAAGGGCTGTTCAACCCCCAAAGGGGTCGAGACGCAGAGGTTGAGAACCGCTGCTCTAAATCCTTATGAAACCAGACACCTATTCTGTGGAGAAGGCTGCTGGGTTCAAACTGCTGGTCTTGTGGTCAGCAGCCCAATGTGTGGCCCACCGCGCCACCAAAGCTCCTTGTCACCAGGGGCAGGAGTGGGCAAATGCTGGCCCACTGGCCACCCGCCTCACTGAATGCATGCCGGGCTCAGCTGTCTGCCTATTGCTGATAGCTGCTTTTAATTTCCCGGCCGGCTCCAACAGCAGAGCTGCGTGGCCGCTCACGGAGCAGAGGGCCTATGAGCCTTCAGGAGTGCCTCTGATCCCCTGGCCAAACACCAAAACGTCTCGGGCAGCTCCTCGGATGCACACTGAGCCATCCACAGGCACTTCTTGGGAGACCATTTAAATCGCTCTTTGTTTTCACCATCAACGTGTGTGGCGGTCCATGATGAGGGGGCTCCAAATAGTTCATGGGGAACAAGATTATGAACTAGGGAATGACATAATATCTGTATTAGCTCCCAATAAAATAGTTCTAAAAAAAAAGAAAACACCACCACCCCCCAAAAAATAAATAAATACAATAATGGCGTTCTCCCACGAACTTTTTGGAAGCCTCTCTTATTTTCCAAGCAAGAAGCCCTGGTGGCATAGTGGGTGGGCTGCAGTCGGCAAGTTCGGCGGTTTTAAACCATCAGCCACTCCTCAGGGAAAAGATGAGGCTTTCTACTTCCAGAGTTAACCGTCTTGGAAACCCACAGGAGCAGTTCTGCAGTCACTATGGGTCAGCATCGATTCGATGGCAGTGAGTGTTTGTATTTTCCAGGTAAAGCTCGTCAGAAATCCACCCTCACTGCAGATGTTACTAAAAGTGGGAGTTTCTCAAACACCCAGGCAAGCACTTGACAAACTGGGTGGCCACAGTAAGGCCCACACGCCTCGGGTACTGACCTTGGGATTGTGCATGACGATGGTCTCGCCGCTGGGGAACTCTAACCGGCGGTGCCACTGGTTGGTGGTGACAGCTTTTTTATATTCAGCCTACAAGGCAGAAATGACATACAAGTTTACGTTCTCCAGAAGTCTGACATCTAGCTACCATGCGGAGGAAAATGCTAGGAGGAAAATGCTAACAGAAACGGTGACAAACGGTGGTGCTGGCTGCCCTCACTTGTGTTGTTACCGCACCGCACTGTGCCTCCCACTGTTGAGCCATCACCTCACATTTCCGTCACCCTTTCTCGGGAACCAGTATTTGAGCTTCCTTCTCTGACAGGTTTCCACCTTACATGGGTTCTGTTTTTCACCGAACAGTGATCAAACCAAGTTCAAAAGTTATAAAACAGCAGACAGCCACTAAGTAGCATGACACTAGGGCCTATTCTGTTCAGTATTTCACAAAGCGGAAGCTACCGTCAGGGCCTCTCCTGGATTTTGGTCACATGCTCAGCATGGAGTGTCCATCACGGGTGCAGATGCCTAAGTGCTTGCAAAGGTTTGATACAAGTGCTGGCTAAACAAGGCTGGCCACCACCTTCTGGCTATCACAGCTTCCATGGTGCTTGGGCGTTAAGGAGTTAAACCTTAGAAAGTCAGTTTAACCCATGAGAAACGAGGACCACCTGTTTTTGAAGGTGCGATTCATTCACAGCTGTGCATCCAGCACTCTCCCTAAACACTGAGCCCCTGAGCACACGCAGCCACTCACTCAGCACTGAGGCCCCCAGACAATGACAAGTGTTAGGGTCCCTGCCAAGCTCACCACCGGGAGCACCACTTTCTTGGTGAAGAAGAGCAAGATGGGCCCTCATGCCATTCAGGTCAGCTCCCTGGTGAGGGGTGTCCCCTGAGGGTCCCGCGGTCTCACGGCAGGGTTACATTAAAGACACGCCCACAGGAATAGCTGGCAGCTACCTCGAGGTTTGCACTGAACTCCTCGGTGTAGGGGATAAACCTGCTGTCCGTGTCCCCCTTGTAGAACCAAGTGCAGCGCCTGACTTCAGCTGGCTCCTCCTGCCAGTACACTGGCTTCCTCACGCGGTCGTAGAGGTGGACATCATACCGCCCCCCGTCCGTCGCGAGGACCACGCTCTCGGGGTCTGGCTGGACTGAAAGACAAAGGGTCCAGCTTAGCCCCACCATTAACAGCGCAGACTCAGACCCTAGAGACAAATGCCTAGGCCAAGCATGGTTTAAAACTCTAAGCTCCAAGGTTAATCTGTATTGCTCAAAATAATGACCCTTAGGAGGAAGAGAAATTGCCATGGCAACATTTAAAACCATGATGGTTAGATCATTCAAATAACTGGCAGATTTTCCCTTTTTCAAACTCAAAGGAATGTTACCAACTCACGGTAACATTCCATGTGTGTCCAGGGGCTAGCCGAGGACACTTTCTCAGGCCATCGATGGATGAGATGGGCAAAGCGGCACATGGCCATGCTGCAGGGCTGCTCGGAGCCGCAACAAGCCCATGTGCCATCCAGCCCACGGACAGGATTTCACGCAGCTTCCCCAGGAACGAGGGGGGCCATAGGCAATGCTCTGAGAAATGCCCCACAACTACAGAAACCCAGACTCACTGCCATCAAGTTGGTGCTGACCCATAGCAACCCTACAGAACAAAGAACTGCCCCATGCATTCCTAAAATTGTAACTCTTCACAGGAGCAGACGGTCTCCTCCTCCTCCTGAGGAGCATCTGGTAGTTTTGAAGTGCTGACCCTTTCCATTCGTAGCCCAACATGAAACCACACTAGCCACCAGGGTTCCTCTCACAACTACAAATAAATAAGGAAAATAAAAAAACGGGGGGTAGGGTGGTGGGTGGAACAGAAACCTATGCTCTAGGAGTTACTCTATTTTCTGGCCTAAAAGACACTTAGCGACAAAGGAAACTGTAGACTATTTCTTCCAACAGTTTTCTGGGACAGGCCAGGTCTTCCGATAGGGCAGTCTGGCGGAGTCTGTGAGGATTAAGGAATTTGGTATTCTCCAAAACTAGGCCATGAACCAACTGTAGTGATCTCTCCTCTCCCAAAATTTAGATACAAGCCACATGGGTGCTGTCACTATTACCTGAATTATAGATTTCTTCAAGGTTCAACGAATCATACACGCTGAAAGGCATCCACAGCTGTTTGTTTTCGACCTCTTTGCAGTAAAACCAATGTGGTTGGACAGGTTCATATTGGTTCTGCAGCAGAAATGGAGGTGGCACCTGCCCCCCAGGGCCAGCTGGCCGGGCCAGGGCCTGCTGCTGGGACGGCGAGGGCACAGCTGGCTGCGCTGCAGGCGGCATCTGGAGGGAGACCAAAGTGAGGACCATCACGCTTGCCCAGAGGACCAGAGAGGTGCATGCTTCTGACCCAAACTGAAACCGGCAGAAGTGATACTTGCCCTAGACACACAGGGGGACTTTTGAAGCCCACTCACACACACGGGCAGCGTTTTGTTCAGTTGTGCACAGGGTCACCAAGGGTAGGAACCAACTCGATGGCACCTAACAACATGATCATCTCACTAAATCTGGAGACCCTGGCATGTGGCTCACTCATTACCATCACTCCAGCCAATCCTAATGCACTGCAGGTGGTGCTGACTCACAGCGACCTCACTGGACAGGGCAGAACTGTCCCCTAGGGTTTCCCAGGCTGTAATCTGTATGGAAGCCAACTGCCACATTAGCCCACAGAACAGCTGGGAGATTTGAACTGCTGCAGCTGAGCTTAACCAACATGCCACCAAGACTCTCTTTACATAAAAAAAAAAAAGGTGATATATGGTAAGATAAAGTGTTAGGGCCAGCGCCTTCTGTTGTTAACACATGGACCTCGTCAGTGCAAGGAGTTAGTAACAGGAACTGAGGAGTAGGAGGCCCTGTGTGCCCTCTCTACCCCAGCGGTTCTCAACCTGTGGGTTGCAACCCCTTTGGGGGTTGAACGACCCCCACAACATGAGGAACTGTATTAAGGGGTGGCGGCATTAGGAAGGTTGAGAACCACCGCTCTAGACGTTTGCTCTGCTATTTTTCCCAAACAAATCCTAAAACAATTTTAGAAACTAAAGTCTATTCATTTAAAAATAAAACCTGAACCCCATCCAGCAAGCTATCTTTAAGAAAATGTTTACTTCAAAGCACGTAGCTTGCACAGAATAGCCCGAAAGATAACGTCCCCTACTGATGAAAAAGCACAGGACATTTTTAACACGGGCCAAGGTGTCAGACTCAGGAGTGAGCGATGAGGACAGAAAGCCCGTCTCGTACCGGCGGCAAAGCCCCAGGAGGCATCTGGTACATCGGAACAGGGGGTCCAGAGGGTGGCGGCAAGGTGGGTTGGCCGGAGACTTGGCACTGCTGCAGCTGGGGCGGGGTAATATAAGGGTTAACCCTGCTGCTGACTGGAGTGTGGCGATATGGGTTGTATCCTTGTTGAGGTGTTCCTGGTGGTGGGCTCCCAAAATTGGAAGGCGGGAGACAGCTCTGCTGAGAAGGCTGGTAAGCATTTATTCCCATCTGCGAAGTTGGCGGAGCACCATACGGAGCCTTGGAAATGGAAGGCGAAAAGGCATTCAACACATCTGGGGATCCAGTTGTAAAAGGAAGGGCAGCTGGGGGCTTAGGGAACGGCGACTGTCCCACCAATGATGTCGCTGCCGTTGTTAATGGTGACTGCCCAATAGCCCCAAAAGGATCACCACTGCTTGGTGCCTGCGAGAAGTAGCTAAATGTCTGTGGGGTAGACGTATGGGCCGAAGTCTGACCAAGGAAGCTGTCCTCCTCGCCGACATCTGTGGAATCCTCTGGAAAAGAACAGGAGAGCAAAAGTTCACAGTCTCGTCCCTCTTTCATTCTGTGGAGATGAGCCAATGAGGCTAACCATTGTACCTCCTAGTTTTACATACTTCTATTTCTATACCACAGAAAATAAATAAATGAACTTTCAAAAGAAAAACCATCTGGGGAACCAAGGTCGACTGGCAGCACCCAGTCCACAGGGGCAGTGCTCTAATCCCACAGTGGGGAGTAGCGACAGGGGTCTTAAAAGGTCACGGAGGCCACCTAAGACACAATGACCGGGCAATTCCTGTCCGGAGGAAAGAAGTGAAGAAAGCTAAAGGCACGTAGAAACAATCGTCCATTGAGCTCAGGGGCCAGGTGACACCAACCTCTGTGACTCAGACCAGAGTTAATGGTGCCCCACTGCTCTTAAAGAGACCACATTAGAAGTTTCTGGATAGCATGTGAACATTTTAGAAAAAAACTGAATCATAAAAAACACCAGTCTTTGGCTATAAAAAGATATAGCATCTGGGGTCTTAAAGGCTTGTGGTTAAACAAGCAGCCATCTAAAATAGAAGCAACAGAGCCCACATGGAAGAAGCACACCAGCCTGTGTGATCATGAAGTGTCCACAGAGGAAGAGGTATCAGAAGTTCAAAAACAAGCAACCAAATCTATGTGAAGGGGTGTAGATGTAGTGGAGACCCCAAACGCACCTCTAAGGTAACTGGTCAGTCCCTCTCAGAAGGGCCTACACAGAAGGGATGACAAATCCAGGGTGTGGTAGAGCACTGGTGAAACACATAACTATCCGCTGGTTCTTTAATATTTCCTCCCCTCGTTATTAAGGCGTATGTGTTTGTTAGACCTACATATGTTCATCTGAAGAATTAAGATCACTCAATGCAAGAATGCCAGTAATGGATGACCCTTCAGAAACAGTAACAGGAGTAATGATTCCCTGAGGATAGGGGGGAGCCTGATAGCAATGACAACTGTATAACCCCACTCAAGGGGAGCAAATAACAGAATTGTAGGTGAATGGTATATTGGATGGAGTAAAATGCAGCTATAATATACATAGAAATGTAATAATAATATTTAATAATGATAATTAAGGGTTGGGGTGACAGGGTGGGAGAGGGAGAGGATAAAGGGGAGCTGATATCAAAGAGTTCAAGGAGGAGGAAAAAGTTTTAAAATTGATTATAGTAGCAATTGTACAATTATGCTCAATTCATTTGAATTATGGAATGTTATGGCATCTCTAAGAGCTCCCAATAAAATGACCAGTAATCTTTTTTTTCAAGCACCAGGACACTCAGTCAGATAGAGACTGATGGAATCCCTGATACTGTGGCTCTTGGACACCCTTCGGGTCTAGAAATGAACTAACCACCAACCTACTCCATCTTCAGCCAAGCCACGGACAGGTCTGTAAGGTGAACAGTAACAGCAGGGCAGTTGCTGTTGAGATCAAGGGGCTGTTTGCCCAAGGACAAAGCTCAGAGGGTTAGGAGAGGAGGAGGGATGGAAGCGAAGCAGGCTAAGTGACAAGAGTGCAACCGATGACAGGAAACAAAGCGTCTATGAATCAATGCCGGGAACTGGTTTACTCTGTGAACCTCCACCCAATTCACAGTACACTGAAAAAGCAAACTAGAAAACTTGGATAAGAAAAAACAAAAGGAGGGAAAATTATCATTTCCTCATAAGCCTACCTCCTAATCAAGATGAACATTTTGGCACAAACCTTTCTATACTTTGTTAATAAATATCTACATACAGAAGTTTATTGAAGCAAAAACAAAGTCTATGCCAACTATATTTATAACTTAATTTTGAAGGCTTTATTTTTCCGGATCAGAAGTAATTCAAGTGCTATTCCTGAATAAACGTAATTTTACTTCTACAGTGACGACAAGACTCTACAGAAAGGACCTCTGTTGACAGGACGGAGCATGTCCGGATTCTGCCCAACAAAGCGCTCGTTGTCAAAGGGACACGTGGCCGCTGCATTCCCAGGACAAAGTGGGTCAGCTATTACCTGCCAGTCTGCACATGAGACAGCATCACACATGGGCGCTAGAGAATGCCCAGTCCAGAGATGTCCTCTTCTAGCCCAGGGACCTGCTCTTCATTCCTCCTGACCCAACTTGACCTTCACTGGGGGTATTAACACTAAACTGTTTTTTAACCTTCCCCCAATCCCAAATCATGAAAAATGAGCGTTTTCCTCCACCTGACGTCATGTCCATCACTTCTCCTGACTGAACCGTGATGAGCACCTAGCTTGTCGGTTCCCTACTCACCTTGCCCTCCTCGTGACTGGCATGCTCTCATCTGCCCCGCTGGCAAGAGGGTGGACTCAGCCGGACACATGGGCACTCTACGGTCCCTGCCCTAGGCCTTCCAAGGGAAGTCTCCTGGCAAGCTCCAGGCTCCTGGACTTCTGCTGGAGGCGGCCACTGGGCGGGCAGAAACTCTGGTCTGTGTTGCTAGGTGGCTCTCATCTTGAACTAAGATAGTCCACTGTTCACAATGTTTGTCTGCAGTTTCTTTGTAATCTTCATTTGTATCATTCATTTCCAGTTCATCCCCCAACCCCATCACCATCACCACCACTGTGGGGGGAGGTCAGATGCACAGGCATTGCCCCCCCACCCCAGGGCAATCAGTTGCAGTGGGCCCTGCTCCCTGCTGTTAAAGACAATGGACAGGCCTGAAGTTATCTATGTGATTCCTGTAGGTGGGGTTTACACCCTACTGATAATGGTTCCTATGGAGACCCAGGGAACAGGTCAAAGTTAAGCTGCCATCCTAAATCTAGGATCCACCCATCTTGTCACGTGTATACCCCAATCCCTCCTCTTCCTATTGCGTGTATGTCCCTAGACCACCCCTTCTCGTTACTGTGTAACCTATAGTGCAACCCCTCCCTGTGATGTATGTCTCTACCTGTAATTAGTGGGCGTGCACGCCCCCAAAAGGTATATAGGCGTGGGTCAGCAATATAGCGCTCTCTCTGACCTCTCTCTCTGGCTCCCCTCTCTTCCCCATCTCCCGTCCTCTCTCCCTTGTTCCCTTGCCCTCCTTCCCTTCCCCCTCTCTCCACGTGGACCACCAAGCGGGGCTGAGGTGAGCAATGCTACCATGTAATGTGTCTGACTGCATTATTGTAATATCTCTCCTCTACCTCTCACGCTATCGATGACTTTAGTATAATACTTATATATCCCAACCATACAATTGTGCTTACTGAACCCGTGGGTAGTAGTAGTGGTGGGGGCTGGCCCCCTACGCACCCCATAATGTAATACTACACACCACCACCCTGCAGCCTTAACAAGGGCGGAAGAAACTTCGGGGGCCTCTTACCCTTTACAGAAAGAACCACCGGTACAAGGCTCTTTGTTCTGGTCAGCAGCCATTCCAAATAAAGTGCTGATCCCAACATGGCACTAGCCGCACATCAGGGCCACGTTCATGTCACACACCAACAAACAGCACATCTAGGCACAACTTGAATGAGCCATGGTGGAAGTGCTCAGTGGTTTGAGCCTACCAGCCCCTCCAAGGGAGAGGCAGCATTCTACTTCTGCTGAGCCGGACAGCCAGGGAAACTTGGCGGTGGGGGTGGGGGGTGAGCCCTACTATGCCCTAGAAGGTTGCTGTGCATCAGAATCTACTCAGCAGTGGGTGTGGGTTGGCACTGGGTTTGTGGTATAGTCAGATACTCCCAACACTCTCTCTGACCTGAACTGCTCTCCAAATCTGACTTCCCACTTCTCGCCTCTGGCTTCCCGACAGACTGGGCCACTTAAGCCGACCACTCAAGAAGCCGAACACAGAACTTCCCATCCAACTGCCCCTAACTCTCCCTCCAGAGATGTTTTCAGACAGCCACCCAGACGCTCAGAGCAGATGCCCCGTCTCTCGCTCATGCTAGTCATGTCAATACTACTAACTCAAGGAATACAGGGCAGGGGACTAAGAGTGACATGCCTCTAAGGGTCACTAACCTTAGGGTCAGAAATCGTTCCTCAGAGCCTGTGAGGCCAACTCAAGCTAGAGGGAGGCCTGCTCCTGCCTGACCCCACCACGCACCAGTCCACGTGACCCACAGGCAACTGTGCTCCTCTTCCTCAAACATTTGGCGATGGCTGCCTTATTTAACACCCCACCCCCCAGTCCCACCCCCCCAGTCCCCATAGGCCATGAGCTCCTCAGCCCAGCAGACAAGGCCTTCACGGTCAGGTCCCCATCTCTGTGCACCTCTCCTCATACAAGCTACCCTCCTCTGCACACACTGTGGTCACACTTATCTATTTGGAGGAGGTTGGGGAGGAAGAAGGGAGGGTGTGTGTGTGTGTGTGTGTGTGTGTGTGTCATGTGTCTATACACATACACACAAGCCATCTCCTGCTCAATCTGCAGGTTTTTAGAGATGTGTCTCCTCCAGCTTCCTCATCCCCAGGCATCCTTCCCCATGCCATTCCAGCCTGTCTCAGTGGGCCCAAAGGCCTAAGGGGGTCCTCTCCCATCAGCCAGCCTGAGACCACAGCTGCCGCAGCCATCTACCCCTCCCTGTGCAGCTGCTGACCCCAGCACAATGTAACAGCATCCAAAGCTGGTCCCTGGGCCCCTCAGACCTTTAAAAGTCAAAGCTCACTCGGCACCACTATGCTGTATGACAGACCTCCATCAGCACCTGTTTCCACGAACAAAAGAAACCCCAAGAGGATTTGTGCTTTTACAAAGAAAGGTGAAAACTAGAATGTGTTTTGCAGCAAAGAAGCCAATGTACTGAGAGAAGAGCCGACAGCTGGCTCAGCAGCAAGCCGCAGTGGTTCTGCGCTGTGTCTCTGAACGCTCATCGCCTGTCGGTGTTATCTGGGGTTTCTTGTCCCAGCCCAGGTTCTCTGTGCTCTCCATAAGGTCACTATGAGTCGGAACTGAATCAGGGACACCTCACAATAGGGTCACTATGAGTCAAAATTAATGGCAGGGAGCTTGTTGAATTTATATTAACAAGAGCCCTAGGGGGCACTATGCAATAAGCACTAGGCTGCTAACTGCACAAGGTCTGCAATTCAAACCCACCAGCCAATCCATAGGAGAAAGATGAGGCTGTCCCAGAAAGACACAGACCCTGAAACTTGACACAGGGTCACTGTGGATCAACTCAATGGCAGTGGGTTGGGCTTGGAGTTTATTTACCTAACATGATCCAAGGCAGAAAGACGTGGCTTTCGGCTCCCCTACAGATTTACAGCCTCAGAAGCCCACTCTGTCCTATGGGGTCACTACGTATCAGAATAGACTCAAAGGCAGTAAGTCTGGTTTTGGTTTACAGAACATGATCGGTCAGGTGAGACGGTTTTATAAAAAATAATTCGTTTCTCACCACAGCCTTATGGGGTTGCCTGCATGTGGAAACTGTAGCCCAGAGAGGTAGAGTAGCATCCCTGAGGTCACACAGCAAATTATTGGCACAGCCAGGATTAGAAGCCTGACATTCTGCACTCCTCAACACTATGCACTGTTTACTCCAAATCACTGCTTAAAAAGCAACCTCCCTCAGCCCTAACAGAGCTATGAACAAGAAACTCTGGGAGCTGATAAGGGTGTGAGGGCCTAAGAGAACAAGGAAGTTTCTTACAAGAAGTAACACTTTGTTTTGAAGAATGGGGAAAGCATTCTGGACTTTCACTGTGCAGAGATCACACCTCTGTCTCCCTTCTAAGGAGCCCTGGCAGGGGTTAAAGCGCTTGGCTGCTAACAGACCAGAAAGGCGGGACGTTCGAGCCACCAGCCCCTCTGCGAAAAGATGTTGGCCTTCAGCTTCCATTTAGAAAGCGTGTGGGGCAGTTGTCCGCTGTCCTGGGAGGTGGGATCCAGTCCACATCACTGGGGTCCCGGCTGTCTCCTCCAGACCGTGGGCTCCTAGCACAGGGGCACTTTCCTCTGCAGAAGCTTTGTGGATGCCAAGGGGCAATTCGGGGAAGAGCAAGGCCACGACCCAGCCCCACCACCATCTCAAAGGCCCTGGCCCACTCAGATGCGGCCACGAAGGCTTCAGCAAACCATTCGACGGGTCCCATCGGGGCAAGAAGAGGGCCTCCCGAGACAGACACACACACACACACATCGACGGGTCCGTCGGGGCAGGAAGAGGGCCTCCCGACACACACATACACACACTCACTCACACACTCTCTCTCGTCGCAGGGGGCCCTCCCCGTCCCTACTACCTCCTGGCAACAGCAGGGAGGCCGGGGACGCAGCCGCTTGGGTGACGGGGATGAAAGGCACGTTGAAGCTGAACTCCGTGGCTGAGGAGGAGAAGAGTAAGTTGGTGCCCGACGAGGAAGCGGACGCGCCGCCGCTGCCCCCGTTCGGCTTCCTCTCGGCCATGGCTGCCGCCCACTGTCCGTTACACGTCTCCGGATAGCCGGTTCCCTCCGCTGGCCGGAAACCAGTCACACTCAGGGCCAGCGCACTTCCGTACTTGCGCACGCAGCCGGAAGTCCGGGAGACTGGGCAGCGGCCCGCCTCCTTCCCCGGAGCCGGCGCTGCCAGGAAGCAGGATGGCGGCGTCGGCTTCTCGCCCGCGCATGCCACGTGACGGGCTCCGCGGCCTCCCACGTGACGGCCCCCGCGACGGCGAGGCGGAGCGCGGGCTGCGGCGTGCGGGAGTCCGTGCTGCCGGTTCCGAATCACCGCGAACTGAAAGCTCTGCCTTCCCAACCCGAGCGTTGAACTGGAACCATTAGCAGGAACGGCGGAGACCGCAGGCAGCCAAGTGCAGACGGCACCCTGATGATATAGGAAGAAGGGGAAGAATTGTTGGCCATTTCCAACCAACAAACTCATCCCCTGCTTGCACCCACATCTAACTCACCCAGAAATAGAAATGGTAACGCTTTCGACATTTTTAAGCCACACCAAGGGAAAAAAAAAAAGCCACTACCATCCCGTTGATTGTGACCCCTAGTGAATTCAGGGCGAGGCTGTGAATCTTTATGGGAGCAACCAGCCTCATCTCCCAAAGAGTAGCGACTGGTAGATTTGAACCCCCAACCCTGCAGTTAGCTGGCTAACAGTTACTCGACCCTGCCACCAGTGCTGCTAGAGAGGAAAATGAAATGTTTAGAAGAGAAAGTAAGGGTTTGAAATGTAAGGGTGTGGCATTTTAAATAGCGGTCCATATTGATCTGCACTCTCAAAATTCCAAGGAAACTGCAGCAGAGTCTCAATTCTGACTCACAGTGACCCTATAGTGCAGAGTAGAACTACCTTCCTTGTAGGTTGCCCAGACTATAAATCTCTACAAGAGTACAAAGAGGAGGCTTTCATCCATGGGCCACCTGTTGGTTTTAAACCGCTGACCTTGGGATTAGCAGTCCAATGACTGTGAAGGCCATTAAGACTCAGCCTTGAAATGGCTGAGATATCACAACCCAGGTGTCAGTATCTGCTGTTTGCTTCTGCAGTTTGACATTGAGACTGAAAAAGAACAAAGACACATGCAAGTTCTGGGAAAACAGAATGTTTAATTTTTATCAAAGACTCCTGGACTTGAGATAGAGTTGCTGATAGTTGGCAATATAGAGTTGCTGATATGTTGTGACAATAGACTAATTGTAACCCCGGGTTGTTTCTGCATGTATAAAAGGAAGATATAGAATTAACTCTGGGCTTCAGTATTCACTGTTGCCCTCCCAATCCTTTCTGTCTCTTTTTTGCCTTAACCCTCACTCCCCCTTTCAGGACCGTTTGACTCGTCGTCGTCAGGCTCCGACAAATGACACACTGTTTGAGGGCTCCTCCACTGACCTGCATCAGTTATGCCAATTCAATCCAAACTACATTGTGGATAACTGGAGTATAATTGTCATTCTTCACATCTTTAAAGGTTATATGAAATAACAACCTTTAAGTCAGTAACTTAATGACTTCCCTTTCACATGCATATGAGGCCATTTAACATACCGTGGCTTGGGTCCAGGGCACTGTAGTCTTCAAAGTAACATCCTTGTTTTGCAGTACTCTAAAGAGGCCTGCGGCAGCAGATTTACCCAGTGCAACTCAATTTTCATCTCTTCACTGCTGCTTCCATGAACATTGAATGTGGATCCCAACAAGACAAAATCCTTGCTGCAATCTTTTCTACCTCTGCCATGAAGTTACCTGTCGGTCCACTTTGTGAGGATTTCGGTCTTCCTTACATGGAGATGGAATCCATACTGAAGACTGCAATCCTCGATCCGATCGATAGTCATCAGCCAGTGCTTCATGTCCTCTTCCCTTTGAGCAAGCGAGGAAGACGGAAGAAGGGCCCATGCATTTGAATTGTGGTGCTTTTAGCAAAGAAGACAGAAAGCACCGTGGCATGCAAATGGACAAACAAGTTTGTCTTGTAAGAAGCACGGCCACAGTGCTCCTTAGAGGCAAAGATGTCAGGCTGCTAACATTTGTTGAAAGTTACGGAGACATGAGTCGAAGAGCCAGATGAAGAAATTTCACTTATCCACACGGCTCTATTTTGCATTTAAGACCCCAGATGCCAGCTCTGTTGCTAGAGATAGCCAGGCACCATCCATTGTTACCAAGCTCCATCTTCAGTGTGAGCTGACTCTCATTGAGGATGGTGTGCAAACAGAGAAACAATACGGCATTCCAAAAAGTCTGATCCCAGAACTAAACTTTTTCTTTTCCTTTTTTTTTTTTTTAGCAAACTTGTTTTTTCTACATACATGATTCATTGCTTGGCTAGCTGTCTCAAGGGTTGGCTGTGGTGATGAGAAATGCAGTGCATAATGTAATTAACAGCCCTATAATTACTCTACAATGATTAGAAGGAATAAGCAGGCTAGTACAAAGAGCATATTCCAGACCTGATACTTTTAGGCCAGTGGAGGAACTCAGCCAGTTTCCACTGGTTCAGCAGATCTGACACCTGATTTTCTGTTGCATTTGGCAAACAAATGGTACTTGTAATCAGGTGAGCAGCTGGGCAGCCACCCAACATGGAAATCACAAATTTACATTCCTTATCCTCTTTCAGCGTTCATCTGCACAGCAGCATCTTCTAAGTGCCATAGTCATGTTCATTCCATCCATAGGTATAAAAAATTAGGCAGGAACTCTGCTTATAATTCTTACTTATTCATTTCATACAACGTTATACTTTTGATGAGATTCTACATGTTTATATCCTTGCACTTGTTACTTCAGTAAACAAACATCTCATGTAAAGAGGCAAAGTGCCCAACAACCAGAGAGGGACCAAAATTCATTTGGGTTCCATGAGATAGTATGCGTGAATTGTGCAATTCCTGAAAGTGTTCTAAAAGCTAAAAATATTGTCGGAACAATTGCTATAAGTTGAGTAATAGCAGAAATGGGTTTTTCAAAGACGAACATGATATGTTCAGAGAGGAGAAGTCGCCTGTTTCTAATATAACAAACACAATGACTATTGTCTAATTGGCCTAGTTCTAAAGGGACCCTACTCCTGCTGTGAAAAGAGGGTTAAGGGTAAATCACACAGTCGATGATGCTCTGATAAAAACGAAGAATATTGCAAGTAAGGACATGAATCAAGTCTTTTTTTTTTTTAATCAAGTCTTATAGAAATATCTTAAATAACCATTTTACTGTTTTTTGTCAGGTATTATTTAATATTTTTGTTTCTATTTTAAAACTTCTTATAACAGTTTTGTGTACCTCTTTTATTGTTTCTATTTAAGTATTAACTATGAAATAATAAACCACCTTTCGATGTATCATTTTTTATATACTTAAACCAACCTTTAGGGCAGCAAACTGGTTGTTAAACTATTTTAATCCCACCACTGGTTGAGGTAAAGAAAAGAGAATGTAAAGAAGAGAATCATCGAGGGTGGGTTGGGGTGGTGGGGTGTTTCCTTTTGAATTCTCTGAAGCGAAGAACACACAACACACGACTTTTCTAGATCGAAGACTGTTTGGACCCAGCACCACGGCCATGGAGAAGCCTTTGTGGCAGATGCTGAAACTTCCCAGGAGGAGCTTGTCTTCCTGGTGGCTGGTCACCTTCTCCCCAGCTGCCCTCATGGCCTGGGATGCTCTTCCCCAGTGCTAGGACTGGGGAGCAAGCCCAGCCTGTGTTTGGCCTCCTCACGACCCGGCCCTGAGCACTCCCTGGCCTGGCCAGAACCGCAGACTTCAGGCTTGCTCAGGTCTTAGTCCCTCTGACTGGCAGCTGCTGCCCCAGAAATATAAAGCCTCAGTGTGGCCTCCACTTGAAAAAACAAAACAAAAAACCTCAACCCAAACCAAAGCCCCTGCTACTGACTCAATTCTTACTCATAGCAACCCCCTGGGTAGAGCAGAACTGCCCCTGTGGGTTTCCTGCAAATCTTTAAGGGAGCTGAAAGCTCCCAGCCAGCAGCCAGTGGATTCAAACTGCTGACCTTGTAGTTAGCAGCCCAGCACACATAACCCACTCTGCCACCAGGACTCCTGAGACATACAGGAGAGCTTCAAAAAGTTCATGGAAAAATAGTATTGGAAGATTGTGACATTTCCCAGGAACAATTTGAAGCCGATTCCTACTGACTATTAACCTGCCTTGCGGTCAATTCACACTCAGAGTGGCCCTGTTGGATAGAGTAGAACTGGGTTTCCAAAGCTGTCAAACTATTTCTGGTGACTAATTTCTTTTAAAAAGAAGTGCAAAGTGAAAATGAGTGAATAAGTCATGTGTTTGTATTTAACATGTTTCATGAGTAGAAGCATGCTTTTATATGTGGTGTGTATGAATTGTGTACTTTTGTTTTGTTTTGTTTTGAATTGTGTACTTTTATTCTCTTTTTTCCCCACCTGTAAACTTGAGTATTTCATGTGTTATATGTACACCTTTAAAATGTGTGTGTAACTTTTTTTTTAATGTGTGTGTAACTTTGATTGTGCATTGGGTGAATGTATACAGAACAAATCAGTTTCCCACTCAATGATTTTGATACATTTTGTTTCATGTCATTAATCACAATCCCCACAATGTAACACTTCTTTTTTTAAATAATTTTATTATTAATTAAGTCTTACAACGATCCAGCATTCAATAGAATTAAGCACACTTGTACATATGTTGCCATCAACATTTCCAAAACATTTTCTTTCTACTTGAGCCCTTGTTATCAGCTCTTTTTTCCCCTCCCTCCCCTACCCTCCCATGAATCCTTGATCAATTACATATTATTGTTGTTATTTCGTGTCTTAGACAGTGTCCATTGTCTCCCTTTCTGTTATTCATCCCCCTGGGGGGTGGGGGGTGGTAGCTATATATCCAACCTTGTGATGGGTTCCTCCTTTCTCCCCCTCTCCCCACCCCACCCCTACCATCCCCCTACCCTCATGATACCACTACTCCCAGTTATGGTTCCTGAGAATTTTATCTATCCTGAATT